CCCCAAAACCCCAAAACCCCAAAACCCCAAAACCCCTGTGAAATAAAATTTAATTGATTTTTAAATATAGAAACAAATGGAATTTTGAGTAAATTTTTGATTGAATCAGAATAGTTTAGGCGGCAACAAGGCCAGCAGGCATTGTTGATGTAGGTGTGGTGAGCAATTCAAGCCCAAGCTCTTCAGCAGGAATACCAAATTCGATCAGTTTTGCCTCATAAACTCTGATAGCATCATTGTACGCTTTGGATGCATGAGCAAAGGAATATTTCAAATTTCTGAGCAATGAGTTTTTGGCTTCGATAGCTTCCTCCATTCTCTTTCAAATTTCATCAACAGTCTTTGGATCAATGACAGATCTCTGAATAAGCTCATGAAGCTGTGTTTCTTTTCTTTGGTGATCTTCTTCAAGCTCACTCAGCTTCTCATCGAGCTTAGTGTTTTTGTACTCAGCTTTACTCCTCAGCTGATCACAAGCAACTTCAAACTTAGCATACATGTCAGCCTTCTCTCTGTCAATCTTCTCCATCTTCTGGTCAAGTTCTTTCTTTTTGGAAGTAAAGTCCTCCACTTTCTTCTTGAGAACAATATACTGAGCTTTTGCATTTCGTAGAGACATCTGATCTTTCTCATAAGTAGCAAGCTGTTTCTTGAGAGTTTTCCGCTGATTTTTAGCTTTCATCAGGGGCTCTTGCAATTCACCGTTTGTGATCTTTAGCGTATCAATCTCAGTTTGGTTTATAATGATGTTGTTATTCACCTGAGCAAGGCTTTCCTTGTTAGCCTTGATAAGATCAAGGTTTTCTCTGGTGATATCATTATAATAGTCCTTCATATCTCTAAATGCTTTCTCATGGTTCTTCATAAGATCATTATAGTGTTGGTTCTTTCTCTCTTCAATCTCATGGATTTCTACCTTGAGTCTAAGGTCTAATTCTTTCTTGAGCTTTGCTAGCTTTCTCTCGTAGTTAGAGATAAGTTCCTTCTTGCTAGCATTTAAAACTTCGTCAACTTCAGTGAGCTTTCCTTTGAGATCCTCTTCTACAGACTCGATTTCAGAGAGGTTGGCATTATCGTTGTCACCGTATTGTATCTTCTTTTCATCTTTGTCTTTCTTCATATCGTCTTCAGTTTCCTTATTAACCTTCTCTTCTTCAGTCATGGAATTTCTGGAGGTAGATTTGACATTTTCCTGACTTTGGCCATGCTCGTATTCCAAATGCTTAACTTTTTGCATGTAAACCTTAATCATGACTTTATGTTGTTCCTCCATGTTTTCCATCTTAGTCTCATAATTTCTAATCTGGGATCAGTTCTCTTTTATCTCATTATTGGTATTTGAATAAAAATCATGGATCATATCCTTTTCAATCTGTATCAGGTTCCTCTTCATCTTAGACTCACTCAGCCTCTCCTGGAGTTGCTGAAGTTTCTTCTCCAGAGTCATACCGTCCATCTTCATGTATTGGTCGTCTGGCTCTGGTTCTTCCTTCTTCTTCTTCTTTCCCTTCTTCTTTTTCTTGGCCATAATATTTAAACTCTCTTTTTTAATATTATAAAGTTTTAAATTCTCAAATGTTTAAGTATTGTTTGGGGTTTTGGGGTTTTGGGGTTTTGGGGTTTTGGGGTTTTGGGGTTTTGGGGTTTTGGGG